TTTATCCCATTGTATTTCCTAACACTTATGAAAAGATGAGGTTTGATTTTAAAATTATTAATAAGATAAGATCAACTCTAGAGAAAAAAATATTATAAAAATAAAATTTACGTCATCATTGGTTAAGTAATTTCGTAAGATACAATGTAATACGACGAATAAAACCGTACAATTGATTTTTTCGTGAATATATATGTAAAAGAAACAAAGAAAATATTCCAATTTTCACTTGACGTAATATAAGTTCTCAATATAGGCTAGTCTGTTTAGACTTCTTTAATACGTAAATGAAATCATTGGAATTGCCCAGTCGACTTATTCTTCCTAGTTAGTATATTTGACAGCCAATAGGAATAACGATCATAGTTGTCGTTCTTAATTCAATTTTACTTTATTCATTTATTCTTTTTCTCATCCTTAAATACATCAAATCATTCATTTGCAATTTTTTTCTAATGTCTATTTCGAAAACATTTCGTTTATTAATTTCCGATAATAAAATTTACTATCCAATCAAATTGTTCCAAATGTGCATACATTGACATAGACATTTTCGTGGATTAGTTTCTGCCTTTTCCTTTTTTCGGACTTTAATTAAGAAAAAATATTTTTGTCTTTTGTTTTCAGATGTATTCTATCTCGATTACTGCAGTACTTCTTTTTCTTTTTTTTAATCTTACATATGAACAAGATATAGATATAAATGGTGGTTCTTATGAAGTACGTGAACATGGTCTTAATCGGCCATATCCAGCTGGTATGCTTTGTTTTTGTTTTTCTCCTAGTTTGATAATATGAATGAAATATTTCTTTGTTTAGTTTTTTCTACAGCAAATTCATATTGGCATTTAACTGGAAATACATTAGTCACAGATCGATATGTTCGTTTAACATCAGATTCACAAAGTAAAGCCGGTGGTTTATGGAATACAATACCTGTAAGTTATCCTGATTGGGAAATGCATATTCATTTTAAAGTACATGGAACTGGAAAAGAATTATTTGGTGATGGTTTTGCTATTTGGTATGTCAAAGATCCAAAATTAATGGGTAAGTACAAAAATCTGGTTTTTTTGTATTCTCGAATAAGAAATTTTTTTTATGCATTGATAATTTGTATGAGTCTGAGATGTCCATCACGGCTAAAAGCCTGCCATTACCACGATAGTTTTCGAGGAATTCATCAGATTCACTAGAATTCTGATCGTTGAACTTTTAGACACTTAAATAGGGATGTGAATTCATACAATTTCTCTAACAAAAAGCTATTGCTGCTGTGATAGATATTTTTGAAATATCTTCCGTGCCACCACATGGACATCTTCAGTATGAATTATCAATTTTGTTGAAATTTATAAATCCGATTTGATTCACACTTATAAATCTTGGATTTTTTGTAAAATCAGAGTGAATCTTAAAATATTCTACTGCTATATATATTCTTTTTTATTCTTCATAGGTCCTGTTTTTGGTTATCAAGATTATTTTCATGGATTAGCTATTATTATGGATACATATTCGAATCATAATGGACCACATAATGTAAGTATTAACTTGTTGTTTGAAAAATATTAATTAATAAAATTCTATTTAGCATGCTCATCCTTATATATCAGCTATGGTAAATAATGGTTCACTTCATTATGATCATGATCGTGATGGTACACATACATCTCTGGCTGGTTGTGAATCATCGTTTCGTGGTCGAGATACCGATACACTTGTTGCTATACGTTATCAGAATGATCGTTTAACCGTATCAACTGATATTGAAGGAAAAAATGTTTGGAAAGAATGTTTTTCAACGCCAGATATTCGATTACCAACACATTATTATTTTGGTTTTTCATCAGCAACTGGTGATTTAAGTGATAATCATGATATTATATCCGTACATACATATCAATTAGAATCAAGTGAACAACGACGTACAGAAGATCGTCGAAATATAATACCAGATGCTCCATCAGCTGAACCTGAACGTCCACATATTGATGATCCAAAAGGATCAGGATGGTCAGCATTAAAAATATTTTTTCTTATTATTTTCTTAATTATTGTTTGTTTGGCTGTTGGTATTGGTGCATATTATTATATGAACCAACGACAATATCAACGTACACGGTTCTATTAAAATTCGTGTTTTTTTTGGTGTTAGATTTTTTTTCGTTAGTCCTGTTTTTTGTTAATAAATAACATAAGAAAACATGTGGGTTATTGGCTTTTCTTTTGTTTTTAGTAACTTCCTTTTTCTTTTTATTGATTATTTAAGTTTGTTGTTTAATATTACAGTGATATACTCTTCCTGTCGGTCTTCTTCTTGTATTTTATGTGCTCTGGACAAACACAGAACCTGTAGTGTTTTTTTTTTATCTTAGAAAATTTGTTATCTCTTTAAAAAAAAATGTGTTTACAAAAAAGAAAAACACATTGAATGATGAACAAAAAAGGTATCACATAAATTATTTTTATTGCACTGTTTTATTTCATACACTTGCATAAGAAATATATTGTCCAACATAATAAGTGTCACCATCGATGATGACATCTCCAGATAAATATGGTTGAATAAAATTTCCAATTTTAAATTCTAATGTTGCTGGTAGAATAAGAAAACCTTTTCCATCAATATAAACAGCCATTTGCTCTGCTCTTATAATAGTTTCATACAGAATAATTTCCGATGGATTTATATCTGATACACGTTCAAAATCAACTAATTGTGCACGTGATACATTTGTTAAAGATGTATTTTTTAAATGAATACTTAAATAAATTTGAATAATTTCATCTGATATTCTTTGACCAATATTTTTAATATTAAAATAAACCGTTAAACCATCACCTGGTTTTATATTTGTTGCATTAAAACTAAGATCATAATAATAAAAACTTGAATAAGATAAACCATGACCAAATCGATAAAGTGGTTCAACATTTGAATAACGATATGTAAAACCACTTGTCATATCATATTGTGTTATATCACCTGGTAAATCACTTAATTTTTTTGGCCATGTATAAGGTAATCGACCAAATTTTGAAACTCCATCTCCAATAATAGCCATTTTAAGTGCTTCACCTAATTCTTGTGCACCAAAACCTAATTGTAATATAGCTTGAATATGATTTGATTCTTCAGCTAATTGAATATCAACTGGACTACCAGATATAATAATAAGAAGAATTTTTGTTTTAGTTGAATTAATTGTATTAAGAACATCTACAAGTAATTGTGATTGATTATTAGGTAAGTTCATTGATGCACGATCATTTGCTTCGCCTTCAATTTCTTGTCCTGTACCTAATGAAAGTATAATTAAATCAAATAAATTTGTTTTTAAATAATTTATTATATCTGTTTGATTATAATTTAAACATTTTGTTCCATCTAAACATGCTTCATTATAACTTGTATTTAGAAAACAATCTTGTAATGAACTTAATGGTGTTGTTACATAATAAGGATTAATAATAGGTGAATAATCACCATATTGTTGCATAGGATTGTTTGACATTGGTCCAAGAAAAAGTACATTTGAAAATAGATTTGTATTACGTATTGGTAAAAAATCTTTTTGATTTTTAAGTAAAACAAATGATTGAAGTGTTGTTTGTCGTGCTAAATTTCGATGTGAATCAGATTGTATAACATCCATAGAAATTTTATNGTTTCACTGTCAGCTGATCAAACTTATGAGTTGAAATAATTTCCATTATATCAAAAGATGCGGAATCACATGATCTTTCTAATGGTGAAAACCGCAGATCGATAGCTATAACGGTTCGAAAGTTATTTAATAAACAATCACCCTGCTTTTAATTAGAAATGGACATTAGTGGCATATAAAGAATAGCAGCCTGAATATTGTGTAAATATCTTATAAGTGCTTCATAAGTGAGACTTCGTCCCCTTCTAAAAAGATTCTACTTTCAATTCTTTTCCAACTAATGTAAGATGAGCTTGTACAAACTGTACTCATAAAATCTAATTGAATGAACATTCATGTGTTACAAGTAACACTTTTTCAGTCGCATCTCTTTGTGTATCCAATAGTCTTCGAGAAGTCCACGATGTCATAATATCACGCTATTAGGGATGTTAATTTATACTTACTTTCCATTCAATTTATGCATAAATTAAATTATTCTTAAATGAAATGAAATGATCAAGTACTTGTAACATCAAGAATATTATTATTATCCAATGGTTATTATCATGTATTTTATTATATGACTATTATTATTATATAATTTATAGTATATAATTACCATTAGATATTAATATACATTCCATTAGATATAAATAATACATATGAAGCTGCAAGTGTATGTTCATTTCATTTCATTTTGCTTAAACAAGTTCTACTGATATATGAAAATATATTATTCTCCTTTTTTTGGAACCTCATGTAAGATGTATCTCTTATTCTTTAACATGGTATTTATGTATAAATTAAGTATTATATAATATTTTCTTTCATCCTACAGGTCCTGATCTTTTGAAAAATTCTACTCTTCATCGAAATGACTTTTTCAATGAAAAAATCAACCGCATAGTTTATCCTATATCAAGATGGAACATTTTTCACACTTTCATTTTTGAGTGTATGTATATGTGAATTGTTTGTTCGTCCAGAAAACTTTAATTCATATTTTCCAAACTTGTAAATATTAATCTTTCTAATAATTATTGACATAAAAAGAAACTCGTTGAAGAATTTACAATATATTTCAATCATAATAGAGATCAGCTACCATCAACGATTCCACATCTGCTAAGAAAATCTTCAGATGACTGTAGATCAATTTCGATTAATAATAATCAAAATGAAGGAAACAGGAATTGAATAATTGAGGGATCAGGATGAAATGAGATAGACAAAGAGCAGTGCATAAGTGAGAGTAATGCTAAAAGGAATTGTACAGAATCATGAGATGAAATGTACAGCCGAAACACAGCCTAAGTCTCACTTGGCATTGACAGTATTAGGTCAAATCTCACCTAATTTTACTATATTCAATTAAAACTTATATACTATAGAGTGATCACTGAAATTTTTTTGAAGAATTTCTTTTTTGTGTAAAAAAAATAGAACAGCAGAAGAATTTCCTTAACTAATTCTGATGACTAGCAGTGTAATTATTCATATTCGCCATTAATATTTACTAAACCTTTTCCCTCAATAAAAGAACTCGAGTATTCTATTATACGAAGATATTTAATTCAATAGTTTTATCGTCTTATTATTTTTATTAATTTATATCTCCTAAGAAAATAGACAATATTTAATTGATGAATATTTGAGAATTATTTGCTCTGAAATAACTTGAATATGACATGTACGTATATATATTATACATTTTGACTTTCATGAATCTAAATCTAAAACCATTGTCCACTATATTTTAATACATTTTTTATGTATAAAATCAATCATTTTTTCAAATAGGAATTCAAAATAATCACAAACGAGCTGTACTAAGAAAATACTTTTTGAAATGTTTCGAAGATCGAGAAATAAGATCTATTGAATATAGACAATTGATTTTTGAACAATTAATTCTTGCTCCAATTTTTTTAAAATCGTGTGTTACTCTTCGTATAGATTGATAATCGACATGAAGACCAAGATTAAATGGTAAGGATATCTTGGTAGCAAGTAAAAATTGTTCAATATAATCATCATGAACTTCAGTAAGATCAAGACAAGCAAGATGATGATAATGAATTAGTGGTAAATCTTGATTGCCGTTGTTTGATTTTTCATATTGTGTTTTCCGATTAGTTACAATTAGATCTTCCATGAGTGGAAATAACTTTTGAATTCGAAGAAAAAATTTATGTTCAAAAGGATGTTCATCAAATAATGATACTTTACTAACATATGTAAAAATATGAATAAACATAATATTGACCTTCGCTTTTATCTGGAAAATCATTAACACAAGAAATAATTTGATTATTTGGAAATCCTCTAAATGTATTTTGGATATCTTCATTTGTCAATATATCAATTTGATTATAATGATCAATAAATGAGCAAATATTAAATGCAAATGTCTTTAATCGTGGTAAATGATTGATAATATTTGCTTTCAAATCATTTCCATCAATAAATGATTTTTCACGGGAACATTTAAAATACGAACGAAGTTCTTCTAAATTTGGCATTCGATGTAAAAGTGGTATAACTAAGTACTTCATCATAGAAGTATAACGGGGGATGCAAAAGTTTTTGCACAAATGTCCCTCCATTTTTCATCTACTAAAAGGCGTTTTGGAAAAATGAAAAATACCTATTCGTAATCTACATCGAAAGAGCTTTCTAACTGTGTGTTCAAATTTTTTTTATCGTGTCTTGCCTCTGAGTACCAATCACATCTGTGAATGGCAGTAAAAAGTAGCTTGTGAAGATCAGATAATGGGCCTGTTCCTAAGCATATGCCAATCCACGTTTTTTTACCAAAGAATCTTTTAGAAAAACAAAAATAGCTTTTCATGTTCTACATTTGAAGAGCTTTCTTACCACGCACTAAAAACTTTTTAATTGACCCTGACTTCCGAGTAGTGACCGAATCTTTAAAACATGAAAAAATTTGATCTGAACTGGGAAAAGAGCTTTTGCTTTCGGATAAACGTAGAACTATTTTGGACTATGGACGCTTGTAGAGCAGCCAATTCTCTAGAACACGACGTTTTGAAACAGGTTATATCCCAAATGAATTCGAATTTATCGTCATTTCTCCGAACACTATGTTTATTTCGCTGGAAACACTATTTCTCAAAACAAAACCTAGACTTTGAATAATTTAAACATTTGCTCGGTTGGTGCTACAAAAAAATAATCAACAACACCTCATTTTGTTGAAAAAAGTCTATTCTATAATCTGTTAGGCAAGACACAGTTTGATCTTTCAATAAAAGTTGTTTTCGTCAAAGTTTGAAAAGATGTACGAACTGTTTTCTTCTTTACAAACTACCGTTTAATGCCATTCAAAGATAAGCTTGTTATTGAAAGATAAAGCACGATAATAAAATTTTGAACACACAGTTAGAAAGCTCTTTCGACGTAGATAATGAATAGATATTTTCCATTTTCCTGAAACGTCTTTTAGTAGATGAAAAATGGAGGGACATTTGTGCAAAAACTTTTGCATCACCCGTTATTTTCAAATTATAGGACAATGAAAAACATATTAGATTTAATAGTTTTTCCTAAAATATAATAATTTGTTTCAATAAATAGAAAATTGCTAAAAATCTACTTTATGTACTTTTGAGATTGTATGAATAAGCCGTTGATTATATTGTATTATTGAACACACGAAGTTGATCGAAACGACCATCGGCATTAGTTAAGCAGGTGTTTCTTTTCATGTATATAGTGTTCCACCGCTAATTGAAATGTATATATATAACGTGATCATAAATAGTGTTCCTCTCATGAGAATGTTTTCCGCTTACAAGATGAAAGAAAATATTAATTTATAAATCAGTATTATGATAAATTACAGAAATTGTCTACAAAAAAAACATTGATGATTTAGATTCATACTATTTCATACGATAGCGTTTTATATCTTCAAAAATTGATGGAAACATTCTGATGAATAGTGCGATACCAGTATTCTGCTAAATGCAAATTTAGTAGTTGCGTTCCATGCATTGTTCGTAAGAGTTTGGTTTTTGCGTGAGACCACAAACACTCAATTAATTGTGTATGGCATCGAGTTCGAGGATCGATGAAATTCTGACTGTGATTGACTGTCTGATGATCATAGCCATATCCCGTTTGAAGTCTTGAGTATGCCTTCCATTCATCGGACCAAATTATTGTACCAGGATACACATGCTTCCAAATGATGAGAATAAGCGTAGAAGCGTCCCTACGAGCAGCATGAAAAAATCTCACTTCATGGTCTTCTTCTGTTGGTTCAGCTATGCCAAAAATCCATGACCCTGATAAACATAAACAAATGAGTGTGAGAATATGTGAGACTTATATATTTTACCGTCGATTCGTCTTTCGTATTTCCAGTTATTATTTGGTTGTGCAGTATTATTATCGTCATCAGATTCACTGTTTGAAGATGAACTCGAATTTTGTAAGTTAACATTATTATTATTATTATTATTATGGTTATCAAGTAATAAACGTCCACGATTGTATTTTCGTTTACCTCGAAACAAAGATTCGTCAATTTGAACTATTTTACCTATACCACTCATTTGTGGTGTATCATTGAACGCCTCCTGACATACCTGCAAAGTATTACTTACGCAATTAGTATTATAAAAATTATGAGAAACTTACCTCACGTAAGAAGTTCAACCAATCGACTACAATCGGTTCCGAAACTTCAACTAACGAAGCAATTTTTGACGCATGATTTTCTTGACACCATAGCCAAACCATTTCGAAAATAGTTGATATATCTAATTTACAATTAGGTCGTCCCAATACATCCGTATACGAGAAAAATGTATTTTTACAAGTGCTGATCTGATTACGGCAGTCCTAATTGATGCAGCGCACCGTAGGATATGTTTTTATTGTTCCATCTTTCAGTTTTTTTTGTGAACTATCGGTCATCAAAGATCCGCAATGGCATTCATGTTGATCACACCGTTGAATAAGATTTTCACGCAGAAATTGTGATAGTAAATCTTCATCATTAAGAATATTATAAAATTGGCGATTGTTTGTGGAAACAAAGATTGGCATGATGAACTTGTACAGTATTTCAAAAATTATCAGTCTTTTATACTAACTTACCTTGTCAAATTAAAACGCTAATCAATTATTTGTCTATAATTTATTAACGTTATTTTTTAATTTCCAAATTAATTATTTTCTCTTTTTCTCATAATCCCTTTTTCTCCTAAGAGAGGAACACTATTTATGATCACGTTATACCCAGGTCGAAAAGTGCGGGTCGGTTCCAAAAGGAAAATACCGGAACATGGAGGCAGTATTCCGGCTGAAAAACACAGGAAATTGGTCGGAATTCACCGGAAAATTTTCGGCAGGAATACTGCTCCCATGTTCCGGTTCTTTTCCATGTTTTTCTGCACGATACGGTGATTTTTCCCGCATTTTCCTGCCGGTTGCTGCAGTATCTGATGGCCGAAACGATGAACCTGGGTATATGTATATTTCAATTAGTGGTGGAACACTATATACATGAAAATAAACACCAGCTTAATTGTATAGCGTATATACGGTGGAACATCTGCTTAACCAATGCCTTATACAACTGTTAAATGCTTTAATACTCACTTTTTTCATGTAAAGATTAGAATTATTTTCAAATGAATTCGTATACTAGAGAAATCATCATAGTCAAACAAGTTTAAATCTGCTCAGGATGTATGTTATTTAGACAATAATATTTTTCGTTGAATATATCATGGGGTTCATATGATTATTGTTTCATTTGATTGATCATAATGATTAGAAAACTGTGTATCATTATGAAGAAGATCTTTTCCAATTGATAACAATTTTTTTCTCAATGTATTCATTAAGACAATCAATTTTACCATGATCTACTTCACCTCAATTGAGACACGTTGATAAAAGATAAATGTGCAGATTCTGCTCTTTCGAATGGTAAAAAGTGCGGCTCTCTATCTTGTTCCTATCAAAAGTTGTTCGAAACATGGCAACCTGCCTTTTATTTTGAAACGGATAATAGCATATAAGTCGATATTTTTCCACACCCTAACAGATTTTGTGAGACATATAGAAACAGCAAGGTGAAAAGTAAAAGTTCAGATGTTTTTCATTTTTAAATACTTTTGAATTTTGGTACCAATTATGTTATCTTTCGGAGGGTGTGGGTGTGGGTATGTTTTTGTGAATCTAAGACCCACGCCCCATACTCCACAATCACATCACACATCCAGTTCGTATATGATTATTTTTTATTTCTTGTTTTCTTCTTTTTATCACTCGCACCACAGGGAAGGTAATCTCATTTGAGAAAGTAAAAGGAGGTAGCGAGTTCTGCTGATATCATCACAAAGATCATATTGTTTTGAGCAATTCTGTCTTCCAAACGACAGTCAAAAAATGAGTCTTCATCGCAATAAAACATATACTAAACAAATCAGATATTTATTTTGAATATCGATTAGATCATCTTTTGAAAGGCTACAAGGCTCATAGTGATATTTTCCTGAGCTATTTCTCTTCTTGAATGAAAGCGATGATACAAAATCGAAAACAAGTGAGAAAGACATGCAGAATCTAGATAAAGCATTCGAGCTTCCTAATTTTCTGGGACGCTATCGTCACAAACAGCCACTTGTACATTCACAACAGGCGTACTGTTTACAGTCATAGTCAGAATTACAGCGCGGAGCTCTAAGCCAACACCATGAAGCGTTCCAGAATCCACATGTTTCCCAACACCTACCACTTCTTGAACACCCAGTAAACCATGAACATCCAGCCTCAACTTGATTGGGTAGTTGAGAAATTAAAAATAGAATGCAAGACACCAGTAATGATATTATGATTTGGTTAGTCATAGTTCTTTCCAGTAGAAATAAGAGTAAAGTGTGAGAAAAGTATTTTAAAACCTAATCTATTGGTAATATACCTGCGATGAAATTATCCCTTTGAACTATTAACGATTATGGCATACATCTATGAGATAAAGACATACATATATACATACATGTGGAAATACTATGAATAGCAGTAGAATTACAGCCGGCAAGTTCTCCCTATTATGGTTTTCCTCTTATGTTACCATTATTTTCGTTCGTGGGTTCTAGTTGTGGGAAATTTTTCACGCAGATGAAACGAAGAGAATTCCCCGCTGTGCCTATGTTTTCTTCTATCTCTCTCTTTCCTGACGTCATAGAACGTCACCAATGAAAACAACCGCTTTTCATGTGGCAAAGATATGTCCTTGTGCTAAAGAAACACCGCATCGTACAATCATTCGACTGTAAATACTCTAACAGATCTGAAAAGGTAACTCATCAACCATCGTTATCATTGACAACTATATCCATATGAGTAGGTAGTTTGAAATGTGATAATCCAAATGTGCAAATCGTATACTGATGTTTGACTGCTTTTTCTAATGATCTATTTAATTGTTTTTTTGCACTGAAGAACTGTATATCTGACAGTTCAGCTCTATCTGAAAGAGACTGACTACAGCCAAGGTAGAGACAAATCGAAAACTAAGCAGAGTGAGTTTGTTTCTCATGTCCTACCTTCGTCTCTGATTTTGATCGTTTTATATTTCTTGGATATGAGTTCATTTGACGTATCCAGATAGAATCATACATATTAACCCTTGAGGTGTGGCTTTCTTTTTGAAAAATAAAGAAAAATATTGTTTTTTCAAAAATCTTGAATTAGATTTTATTATCATACAGAAGTATTCAGAAATATTTCAGAGTATGATATTTTTCAAAACAGCCTATAACACAAAGTCCAACATTACAAATGTTGAGAAAAACCAGCATGACGTATGTGAACACATTGGAAAAATTCCATGGAATATGTTGGAGAATTTCAAGATGCGATGCGCGGGTATTTCCAACTATCATGAATGTCATAGAATCCATTCCATGAACAATTGCAAGTCAAGACAGAAACATAGAACATCATTCGGCAAGAAAGAAAGTACAAATAAAAGAGAAGAAAAATTCGCCTCCACTATTATGACGAAATCTGTCACAACGAATCTATGTCAACAGCATGCAGAAAAAAGTAGATAAATACAATGCATAATAATGCTATTCGATGTCACAGTGATGAGACCACACAAGAGTAATAGGGGTCACTCACTCTCATGGAGTAATCAAGCAAAAAAAATTTCGCAATCGCACTTTAAGCGAAGTTCAAAACGTATATTTACGTGTTCTTTAACCAAAGGATAAAACAAGATTGAATCATATTATTTTGTTTTTAAATTGATTTGCAGAAAAATGAAAATTATGAATTTTGAGAGTAGTTTTATGGCAACAAAAGTAAATATGTTACTTTGAAAAGCGAAAAACATACTTCAGAAAGCACTTTTTGGTCATGTCTAGAATTCGGACACTGATCAAGTGTCATTTTTCGATTTAAACGATGTATTGGAAATAGGAATGTTGGAAACTTCCAAATCTAAATCCTTAGTGCTTTTTCTTCAATTAACGATAACTTTAGTTTATCCAACTATTGAACAATCACTAAATTTGATTGAAAAATCGGAGAAAAACTATCGATGAACAGTTGACCGATTGATTCTCGGAGCATGCCAATACAGATTACTATGTACGAAACATACTTGAAGATAGAATGTGAAATACTGAACAGAAACAAATATTCAGATATAACAATTCATTTGTTCGAAAAATGTAATATCAAATACTTGTTTGATTGTGCAGTTAATGCATGAAAATATCAGCCTACACGATGAACATAGTGTGTTCAACAGAACTGTTTGTGATCTCGTGAGAAGTCACTAAGGGCACAATAGTTTTCACAAGACGATATCAGTTACGAATTTTCGAGAATTATTAAAAATGAAAAGAACACATTATAAGAAATAACAGTCATTTAGTATGACTACGAGTAGTTATGCTAAGGCATGTATATAATTCGGAGTACTTCGAAACGAATTTGGTACCATAAATAATGAAAATACTGAAAAAAGTCGGTCAATGTAACTTCAATGATGGTCAAGTGTGGAGTTCGCATAAGAATGTCGCATCAATAAAAAATACAAAAAAAATAAGAAAGAGAGATCAAAATTATGGATTCCATGAAAGATGCTCTCGCGACAGTTGCTCCCGGAGCCCTTGCTACTCAACGACACGAGCGTGAGTATGGATGAAGTGATAATGGACATTCACACCCACAGTCACGCTCACAGCCGTGCCGTGGAGCAAATGTTAGGGAAGCAACTGTTACGGGAGCATTCGTCAGGAGAGTGACATTCATGTTTTCCTGTCAGATAGACTTATATATAATGAACTCAAACTAATACGCTCGTGACACACCTTGATAGTAGACTTAAAATAGCTAAGAAGCTCTGGAGGATAGCTTTGGCATACCCTTGGAATATGCTGAAGGACGGGTGAAATTCGTTTTTTTTTGCTAAATCTCCATTATTGATTTCTATGAATTCTTTCTCTATTGACATAGATCGATAAACATAAATTTTCATAGAGCTACAATTTTCTATATTAGCTATGTACACTAATTAAATGTTTGTCAAACATAAAAATTCTGAAGCAATCGTAGATGTACTCTGCATATCACGAAAGTATTCATTTTATCATCTCTTTTGTCTATTGCAACAGATAAGTATATAGTAAATTACAATGATAGTCAGTGAATCCATTTTGTTTCGATAATATAATTTGATATCGAAATTACTTGATAAAATATATTAGGTATGTTTTTATGGCAACTCACTCAATAGAAATAGTCATTGATATCAGTAAAACTGGTTCGATATACGAACAAAACCACCTCTGGTATTAGTGTTTCAAAAAAAGGTGCAAAAACTAGAAAAAAAAATATATCGGCTGATACAGAAAAAGTTGTGTCTGCCGCGGCCGACATATCAGCCGGTAAGGAATCGCGCCCAGACTAACCGTTTACCGTTGCCAGTTGCAACACTGGTATGAACAGCTGATAATGAATAATGAACCATACAAATAAATAAGCGATCAATTCGCAGCGTCCTCTAAAAGCATGTCGGTACGCCTTAGTAAAGTTCTTATAGTTATGAATTTTGCATTGTTTGTCTAACCGTTCCTTTTTTGTACTTCGATCATTTGATTGATCCTAACGTAGATAATTCGAGTTTTCAATTAGATCGATACGAAAGGAACCCGTTGTCATGACCTGTAAACGTCTCAAGCGATAAACCGTTGTGTAATTAATTGTATAAATAATTATTCGTTTTTTATGAGATATTGTTTTTTCTCGGATAATTAATATTCGTAACTTCGCACTGCATTTTGCAATCGAATGAAACTTGAATGCCATCTAGTTCATTATCAACTAAGATTATTAGATATGTAAAATATCTTCAATGAAAAAATAAACGTTAACTTTATGATTATTGATTGCTGAATAGAACAATATGTTTCTTTGTAGGAATGTAAGATTAAAACTGATTACACATACATTACATGAAACAATCATTGTCTATAAGCTGATGCCAAACAGACACAGGTTTTCTATTCAGTAGATCTTCTATTATTTTTTATTCCCCACTCTTTACGATTTGTTCTTTTCTTGTCTAAAATAATAAATTGAAAAAATTTTTTCAAATTCCTTTGGGTCATCGATATATAATTATACGGTATATTTTACTTCAGTTCAATTATAGGCTCGTATTCAGCGAGCTCAACAAGAATATCTAGTTGCATATGCATACAAAAATGAGCAAATAAATACGTGTTGGTCCTAGATTATCATCAACATTTAATGTATAGGCTTCATTAAAACGAATCTATGACTATTTTTATTTCAAAACAAATTCTAAAATATAACATTCGTTGCCAATTTATCTAGATAAATAAGACAAAGAAGAATAGAAAGAAAGAGTTCTATTTTTGTTGGTATGCCGGAAGAATCATATTTATGAAATAGACTAAACACTTCTATCCCGCTCATAACTGATATGAGAGAAGATTACTTTTAAGCGTATATTGCCATCTCAATTTAAAATTTTGGCTATGAGAAACTATGATAATCACAAATATTGTATGGGTCTGTAACGAAGAGGGCAGATTAAATTGCTAATTTTTTCTAGGCTTATTTTTCGAGATAGACTGGACCAGAAAGTTTAGTCCTAACACTGGACTATAAAAAATTTTGTGTTGATTTCAGTGATATGTACTTTTTTTTTAAATAAGCATGTACCACCATTTGTAGTATAAAAAGTATTGAGCGCCACATAAAACATCAGTTGCTCAGTATTTAACTAGAATAAAGCGTTATCTTTATTTGATCAAAATTTTTTTTATTCACTATTCAAACATACTATGAAAATATATGCCTAATTATTGACTTTTAATGCACGTTCATATCGAAGAAGACATTATAGCTTGCTGATATTTTAGAGAAGAGCATTTTGCACAGTTTGGAATTTTGTATCTATATGTGTAATAAGAAAAGCTTTTGTAACACTGAATTCTAAGAAAATTCCTTAAGTAGGATACTAAGACTTGTAAACATCTGATTAATGTATGCTACTTTTCAAAGGAGACGTATATTAGCTGTTCAAATCGAAAACATCACGACATACATAAAAATAATTTACATCATTGACTACAATTAAGAAATTTTTAAACTGAATCTAACTGATTAGAAATTGCTTTTACGCATTTCTGATTTTATTGTTGAAGTGTTAATGTTTTAATACCGTCCGATACTTTTAGCTTAGAAAATAGCGGTACATAAATTTAAACTGTCTTACACGTTGGGTACAGCTATCTGAAACAGAGGTTGGGAATACGGAGATTTCAGATAATACTATACGTAAATAATTGTAGTAGTAGATGAATGATTCATTTATCTTTGACTTGAAAAACAAATGAAGCTGGTTGATATTTAATTTTCACGACAGTTAGAAACACTATTTTGTGTAAACAAATTCTTGACAAAAAAGGTTTTGTCGCTTCACATATTAAACGTCGTAGTTTTTTTCTATTGGCTTCACAGCACAGCACATTTGATGCGTAATTAAAGTCAAGTTGACAAATTCAATTATATTTTTCTGTTTCTCACTGAAATGTGCATCAGCAAGACAAAATCTATCAGATGGTTACATGAAATTGATTGTGTCATATAGAATAAAGAACTTTTTCATTATGATATTAGGAATCTAAAATTAAATTCAGTTGTCTTTCTCAATATCCTCATCTTCAATCCTCTAAAAGTGAATCATTTTTATTAAAGTATTTATTAGTATTGTGAGCTTTATGAACAAAAAAGAATTTTGTAGTGATCAAATGAAATTTGATAATGTACAGAGAAGAAAATTTGTCAATTAATTTGAGAAATTTATCTTTCCTATCAAATAACTAGAAGAAGCAAATTTCAAATATGAGCTTCAGTGTTTCTTCGATTAATCATGCATATTATGATCCTTTTAATATCCAATAATATCGCTTAGTCTTTCAACCAATTGTACTAACTATAGAGAACAATTTTGTATAAACTTAATATCATGATATAAAGTCCTATTAAAATCTTATCTAAAAACAAAAGTAGTTCTCGTCAAGAGATGTGTCATTTACTTCTTTAAACTTTTTAAAATTCCTATTTTATTCGATCTTTGATTTCAGATCTTTCATAATAGTATTATATTCATTTTACTGTACATATTAATGCCTAATAATCATAGTAGAATTGATCTTACTCATTGTACATAAAATTATTAAGAAACTGAGAATGGATTATTTTCATCGGACTTTCTTCTTTCAAAGAAACATTATCTTAGAATGATTGATCAATTTAATTATTTAGCAATCGCGCATTGATTTCTCTTATTAATTTATGGAAAACTCATTCTTATGTTGAATAATTCACTTTTCTCTATTTTGCTTCATAGAGTTTTTTTTTATCTTCTTTATTCAAATGACGATTAGATGATTCACAAGATGGAACAAAATCAAATTTTCTTTCGATAGACGTTCTTAAGGGAATGTTCAATATAAAGATTGATTGATTAACAAGGTTCTAAAATTGACAGGCGAGAACATCATCTTTTATTAATTTTAGAAGTTGCTACCATTTATTAAAAAAAAAATTCCATGATTTCAATCACAATTATCGTCACGTACAATATGCATGAGAGATTGTGTGAGCTGATGTAAATCTCTTACATGTTTGGAATATGATTCGTTTTTTGTTTGAATTTTTTACGCTAAAATGAAGCATTCTAAGACAGAAAAAAAAATACTCATTCGATGCAATTATATCTTTATAATGATAATTGACAAAGTCACACCATATGAATGTATATTTGTTACAAGCAAGTGAATCATCGATTTTGACGTCATATGAGAAATTTGTTTGTCTTCTAGGCCAATAAATGTATTACTGATTTTTATTTTTGGGTCTCGACTATTTATCTTTTCTTTCATGAAGTAACCTTTATTTTCTGGCAATACCATCGGTTAATTAGACATGATCCATGACGTTATATGATCAACTATGGGTCTTGTTTATAGTCGAATGTTGCAGATAATATGTAGACATCCATCCACATAAACAACGAGCAAAGGAAACAGTAAAAAGAGAAGTCTGGTGACGTGCTTGAAAAAAAATTCAATACTAAGTAAAGCAACTGTTTGTCGTTGTAGAGAAAAAGAAGAGCGTAAGAGAGAGAAAAAGATTTATCCACCATTATTGACGTCTCTATCCGTAACAAAAGCGGTCTTTCTTTTCTCTTCTTAGTCATTCTCTCGTCTTCTCTCTGTTTTTTTTTGCTCAACATCTGTCATCGTTGTCTGCACATGAATCCACGCTTCTTTCTTTTTTTTCTTGTCGCTCTGTTTTTTCGTTTTTCACATTATTATTATAAAAAACTTACTCTTACTTTTGATAAACATTGTTTTTCAATCTCTAAATACATATTGTTATCAAATACAGCTCTATCGTGAGTAATTTTACTCGATTTTTTTTGCCCATTGCAATAGATTGATTGTTTTGATTTGCTTGAAAAGAAAAAAAAAGAGGCATTTGATATAACAACATACTATTAGATAGCCTTGGTATGCACACGATTCACACTCGTGCAAGAGACAGAAAAGTAGAAAGAGAGAAAGAAAGAGATTGAAAAAAAAATAGAAAAAAAATGAACAAGAAAGAAGAAGAAAATAAATGACGCATTGTTTGCATTATTCATCATTAAATATTTTCGATCAGTTGATTTTTTCTCAAACGCTTAATATGAATACAATGATTGATTTATTCATTTCTTTTTTTATCTTTATAGTCATATACAATTGACAAAATATGGCATCGTACGTCTACCGTCAAGAACCATCTGCACCACCTATGTATCCAGAAGTTGATAATATTCGTCCAGTACCACCCATTCGATCTGAATTTACTCGACATCCGCAAGAAGAAAATCTTTTACCACCCAAAGTACCAAAACGTATGGATATTGATGAACCACCATCTTGTTCTACTGTCAATGTTGGTTCAAGAAGGGTAAACATTAAAAATCATAATAGAAATGTTCTTGATAACCTGATTATATACCAGTTGTAACATATAATTCATTCTATTTGCTATTAGACCAAACCAGCTATTGCTTTTGATTTTTTCTTCTTAGGATGACAATGAGGGAAATATTGGTGATGCCGATGTAAGTTTTCATATAATTATATACAGTTATTTTTGAGCACTCTTATTTGAAAGGTACACTATAATATGTGTTGATAGATTTAGTTACATGATTAGAGGTGTGATTTTACTATTAGGTTGCTAGTTTTATCTGCATATAACCATTGTAATTATTGTTAACCTTGATAAACCTGTTCAATGCTCTTCTTTCCTTCTTTTTTAATAATGAAAATGTTTCTTTCTTCTTGTCTCTTTTATGCATAAACCACTTGTAACATCTAGTATGTGATTGTTGCCAATCATACATTATGAAGAAGAATGAAGGTATTATTTATGTTAAGTAAATAGAAGTAGAAAAAATAATGTTTATTCTCATTGGATGACAAATAAATATTTGTATAGAGCTATTTTATACAGTATATAAAAGAATATAAGAAAAATCTAGTGTTCAAATGATAGTATTTTCTATTTTATGATACTTATCAATCATCTTATTTAATTCAAATATATTATGCACACAGGCATAGCATGTGCTCAAGTGCCTTTTTTTCACGCGTTAAAGATTGATTTCTACTATTGGCAAATATATACAATCTCTGCTAATTTGTTCAGTCGTCGAGTCATTTCATTCTTTTTTGTGTATTATCTCGAATGTATAAAGCATGATTTGTTGACTAAAACAAAAGTGTACACATGATATTTACACAAAAAATTGTTATTGTTGAACTACTATATCGCTTTGTCCACATCAATATTTTGATTGTTGTTTCTTATATTAAATGTCAAAAGGTTTCGAATGAAAAGTTTAATCTTATTTATTCATTTATTTACATGATATTTTTCATTATAGGATGATTTTACATGTAACTATGATCGTTATGCAACAAAAAAAACATTCGGTAAATTTATTTAAATTTTTCTTTAGTTTACAACAAAAACATTTATATTAATTTTTCATAGGGCATTTTTTTTTCGTAGTTGCTTTACTTGGTAAGTAAAATTGTAAAACAAAAAAATTTATAATATAATAAAATAAAAAATTTCATTAGCAAGTAATGGTATGCAATTACGAATATTAAAATTACAGAAGCAACATGATGGCATATGGATAGCATCTCTTATACTTGTTTGTATATCGATTTTAGTTCAAATTGGTTTAACTTCTATTCTATATATTATTGCTAAAGGTGATATAAGAAATCCTCTACAACAAATCAAACTCGAACGATATAATACTATTGCATTTATTATTATTATTATTGTATTTATTATTAACGCTATTATTAATTTATTTATGTTAACAACAAATTCAAAGAGTTTTCTAGATACACGTTCATTAGAAATATTACAAAACCAGAATTAAATTTATAATAAAATTTCTTTTTTTATTCAGTCAAACATTACTGCAATTAAAAATTAAGCTCTATGTATGTCTGTGATGTTTGTTAGAAAAATAAACTTTACAAGACAGCACAGTTTGTGATAAAGATGAATACGAACAAATAAATATATTCCTATTTCGTCTCATGTTTTGTATATTTTCTCTTGTTCTAAAATATCCATGTAATAAATCTTTTAAATTTTCTCTTTTGTTTTTAAAGATTGTAGATTTTTTTGCTGTAATGTCATAATTGTCATTATTCATGATTCTTTATCGGCACTGTTTTTTTATTATTATTGCTCTATTTAAATAAATATATATATATATATATACGAGATATATGCACTTGTAAAGTCCTTAAAACAATTATATGATTGAATTTTGTTCGTATGTGCTCTATGGATATCGAATAGACACGAAACTATTTCCAAATAGAACAGAATCATATTTACCAAGAAAAATAAATTAGGAAATATAGATATAGATTCCTCATATCATATGTAATATTAACATAGATTAGAAAAAAAAGCCAAGTTTATGTTAAAGTTTTAATTGAATCTAACTGAGATATAAGTAAGTTCAAACATAAGAATAAACTGATAGAACTGATCTTATTTTTAGCATGCCTATTCTGATAGAGAAACATTTTTAATTTTTTTTCTGCTCTGATTCTTTTTAATTTCCTTTTTGTTTTAGACTACACTCTCTGACATTAGTAGGTCATATTTTTAGTTCTGCTCTCCAATAATGAACTATGACTATAGTCCGATTAATTAAACGTCCGAGTAAAACGCTTGGCTTTTTTTCTCTGCAGATACAGGAAAAAAATCAAGCGTTTTACTACAACTTTTAATTAATTGGACAATAGTATCTAATAAAAAATCAAAAATGGATCTATAATACTAAGCATAACACGTTGATTTTACTTTTTCTGATTGATCTCTGATAGGTTACACCATTTGCAATTAAATCAAGTGATAGTATTTTATTTCATCGAACATGACTCAATCGACTGTTTGACATTCAAATCTGTTTTTGCGTCAATAAAAAACATGATTTTATGTCATCCCCTGAAATACATCCTCTTATTACTCATGCTAAATTAGCAACAACAATAATGATTATGATATTATTATTATGAAAGGATTTCCTAAAATAACTGAGGATAAATTATTAATGATATTTTTCATATTTTTTCTTAATGGAGTGGATTGAAATTGCTATCATGCGTGTATCTAATTATAATCGTTAATTTCCCAAAGTTTCAGTTTCCTAGCTAAAACTATGGCTGAAATGCTTAAACAAGACTGTCATGCATGACTTTTCGTACTAGTAGATTTTGCATCATCGTTATTTCTTGACTAATGATACTTGTAAGCACCTGATGAAAAATGTTTTACAAAGCAGACTTCTTCCCACAAACGTAAATTATAATAAAACTCAATGTGTATAAATATTCTTCCCATTGCTGCCTACAATTAATTTTTATTTGTAACGATGTATCAAACATTTATATGCAAAATTTTTCGTCCAGCAAAATCCACTAATTTTCAGTTCTTCATAAATCAGCAACATCAGCATCGTGGTCTACTGATTGTATATGTTCATTAAATAATTGTGGTAGAAACCGTGCAACCTATACTCCATGCTGTTTTGAGACGATTTAAATTCAATATAAACCAATCACAAACTTTTCTATTTTCGTACGTAACTAGTGGGTGTTTAACATAAAATTTGTCATTAAATCTAAAAGATTGTAGATAAAAATGCATAACTATTTTGTTAAAATAATCATTGTAGCGATCGACTACGTAGTAAAAATATTACAAAAATTTAGTACAATAACTCATATATGTTAATCTTGTCTATGCATTTGAGCACTAGTTTTAGATAGAGAATTGAACTTTTAGTGAATTAAAGATCTTGGTTAGTTTAGATACATACATATGTAATAAAAATTTCAATCTTATATGTCAAGAAAAAGCATACAAAATATCGTTAACAATTTATCATCAGTTATTATGGGTCACCCTTTATTATTATTGGTACTATTTTATCAGGTGTAATATGCACTTATTGGTTACGTAAAGTGGATCCTATTGAAAAATTTTCACATATAATTTTACTTGAAAAAACAATATTTGTCCACGTTCTGGTGCATCAAGTTGTAATGGTGGTTTTAATTTGGCCAAGTTATGTTTCTTTAGATTGTTATGTCCAAGATTTTGGTTATGATGATGCTTGTAAATAAGTGTAATTTTAACATGAAAATATTCGATCTATAGCTGAAATTGTCAATGAGAATATGATTGATTATGAACTAAATTTAATATGTGATAATGTTGCTTTAACTTTTGATAAACAAGAATGATAAATTTTAGTTAAATCTGATGAATAAATTAAAGTTTATATAAATAAACATCCGAAAACAAAAATATTATTCGATAATCTTGAACTGTGAAATTATGAAAAAAGTCAACAAATGGTACCTTCAGATAAATTTATTGAAGATCTTTTTATGCATCAATCAGGTACTATTTGAATATTAAAATTTGTATATAGTTTATTAAAATATTATTTTGATCTATTTGGAGTTCATCTAATTATCCACAGTAAAGCTATTTGAATTGAAAATTCTATAAATATTATTTTTGAAAATAATTGAGTTATTAATGTTTATCAAGCTATTTTACATGCATAAAATGCACATACTATTGAATATCTTGATTTTTCCACGTGAAACAATGATTTCAACAAGTAGTCAATGTAGTCTTTCAAAAATCAATTAAAAAAAGTTGTTTTTTAATCATTTGATTTATCAACACATAATGAAAAAGAATATCATCATCAATTGATGGTTGAACTATATACAATATAATTGTCGTTGGAGAACTCGAGATATACTGAATATAATAATCAAAATAAATCAATTCACAAGAGAAAAATATGAAACATTTTTTTGTCTCCATAGCATCAGAATATTGCATAAAAAAAATCATACTTTTGAAATTTACCAAGAATGGGCAAGTATTATGCCATTTACAATCGACGATTCTCCATTAATTGGATCATTAATGAAGGGTAATAAAAAATTCCTCTTATGCGTTTATAATGGTAAGGTTTTTTCTTTTATTTGAAAATGAATTTTTCTGAAGGTAATGAAATAACAAATACATTTTTTGGTATGAAAAAGCTATTGCGAGAATGATTTTAAATAATGATCTGTATAAAGACGATGAAGAAAATAGCACATTCGGTTTTCTAAAAATATTTTTACCGGAACAATGTACTAATTTAACGATCCAATCATCCATAAATAAACAAAAAATATGACGTCTAATTTTACGCTTGATTACAAATACCAAATATTTATTCAATAAGAAAAATATAATTTAGTACATTTTTATCTTTTTTTTTCATGTCAATATATTACAAATCAATTGTTTATTAGACTTCATTTTAGAACTGTTCAATCAGTATTCTCGTGCAATTAATTATATTATTCTAAAGAATCAACTTCTGATCTATTTAAGTAATATTGAAGTATAAAATTGTTGACAAGAGAAAAATCTTGTTAATATGCCTTCATCTTTGCTTCGACATTTTTACTTTTCGTCAAAAGTAGGATTGACTCAACTTCTAAATCGTTACATCTTTGGGTAGATCTCTATAAGATTGTCTAGATGACAAAAACTAGATGGTCAATAGATTTTTGATTCATTTTGAAATGTCAAGATTCAATTCACCAAGCCTTAAAATAAACAAGAAAAAGTCTTTTTTCTTATTCATGTGATGATTATTCATTCAGTTATATAATTAAAAAATGTCGTGTTCTTTTTTCCTATTCTTCTTTCGCTTTCTTTCTGCATTCTCTTTTCTCGTCTTGTTTTTTTACATTCCGTTTTCTCATCTTGTATTTTGCATTCCTTATTCTCGTTTTTTTCTTTTTTTTTCTTTTGATCCCATATACTAGACAGATGGTGTGATTCGTCGTTCTCGCTCACACAAACACATATATATTCAACTCACATACTACAACGCATACTTATTTTCAAGGTCTCCTCCTTCACATATATATATATAGGTAGAAAATATTCTGTTTACTGAGTCTCATAATTTTTTTTTCTTCTCGAACAGTTCATACGACTAACATACAAGAATCATGGCTTTGGCAATGCATACTACGTTAACGATTTCATGTAAAGCATCCGAAGAACAATCAGGACCAACATTAGTTCATAGTACCGGTGTTAAAAATTATCGTGTTCAACCAGAAGTTATACGAATTTTACAAGAATCATGTTCAAATGAAAAATTATGTGATCATGAACAAGGTGTTCAATGTACTGATCCACCAGCACATATTATTGAAGCATTTAAAAAAGCTGGTTTTAAGGTAACAAGTCAATCAACAGCTGATGGTCGTAAATTATGGATGTTAACAAAGACAGATGAAGGTGGTTCCAATCAACCACCACACCAAGGTGGTGACGAAGAAGAGCATGAAGAAGAAGAGAAAGAGGAAGAAGAACAATAAACTCATTCACCATTACAATTATTTCTTGAACTCTTTATATACTCATTTTCATAGCCATTTAGTTAGTAATTGAAATGTTTACATTTAAAGAAAAAAATATTCGTCAATAAATATATCTGTAAAAAAACAAGATGATATCTATCTTTTGTCTGGTCGAATTATTCTCGTAAAATTATGTTGGGTATTTTATTCTTATCTATTTTGTTTTCGTATTTAGCTGCATAGTTGTTTTGTGAGATTCTTGATAGTTATTTGTAGAATAGTTATGCGTAAACATATATATATATATTGTTTTTTCCTTCAACTTGTACTCTCAATGGAATTCAATTTAGACGGTCCTAATCAAATTATATCTGATGAGCAAGCAGCATTTTTTGATGAATGAGTAGCTCAAAATGAATGGCTAAGAACGAAAAACAAGCAGATACAAAATATAGATAAAAAACATGAATATTATAGCTATAAAGTTTTTGATAATTGTTTCGATAATTTTTCTTTTTTGCAATCATGATATTTATTATTTGCCTAGTATTGATCATTGTTTTCATACAAACAGTTCGCCAAATTTTAGGCACATATCTCTAACCATCTGGTAATGTGTAGCTGAAGGATCCATTAATTCTTATTTGTACAAACAAAAATGTATAGTGTTAGTAAAAGAGATTGTTTATATAGGCCGCCTATGCATAATAAATATTTTTTATATTAAAATGACAATTTTCTTTTTCTACCTATAATAGTCAAAACAGGAATTCAAAAAGATATTTGTTTGTTATTTTTTCAAATTTATCATTGAAATAACCTTTCTGAAAACAATATCGAATTAGAATTGAGATAAGTCTAAAATAAGTTCTGAAAATTATGAGAAATAAACGAAGTCTATTTGCTTTTGATTTTATAGTTTCATTTTTTTGATATTTAATTTCATATGAATATTATCATATCTCAAATGTTGTTTTTTTCTTCTTTTACCTTATAGTTTATTTTAATAAAGATTGCAATAACAAAAATACCTATTGACAATTATCTTTTTATCATTACACTGCATGCTCTTTTAATATGATTCATAGTTTTCGTGATGGGTATTTTCAATGAAATATAATTAAAAGTCTAAAATGTATTCTAAATACTTTTTTTTTCTTGCATGATTTGATTTTTGAATTTGCAGCGAAATAAAGTTGAATATACATTTAAAAAGAAGAAAATTTCTTATATTTATATCAAAACTTATCGGTCGAGATTTATACCAATTCTTTTATATCAAATAGCAAGTAACGATATAACTTAATTTCTTTCTTTTGTGTTTTTTCAAAATGTCGCCGACATATCGTTCTTAAAAAAGATCTTCTTCAGAAAAAAATGGCCCTTAGTACTACGGCCTTCCGAAAAAATATCTTTCACTATCAAAATGTCCTTTCAGTAAAATTTGAGCAACGCTTGATGAGAGACAGGAACAATTTCTCAAAGAAACTTTCTCAAGAACGAAATGTCGCGAACATTTTTCAAGGGACATTTTAGACTGTATTCGTTTTCCATATTTGATTGTATATATATATATATTGATTTTATTTATCGTCTTTAGTAATATTAATAATACTTTGTTTGTTTTTCAAATATATTTATTTTTTTTAGGCTACAGTCTACTTTTTTTAGAGCTTTTTTCACAACTTTTCTAGGCAAAAAGAAAAAAAGAAAGACACACATTTCTCAAAATGTAAGTGCCAACAATAGCAGCAAAAAAAAGAAAGAAAAAAGAAAAAACGCTTGAAAAATCATCATAGCAGAAACTGACTTCTCGTTCTATATCCATAGTTGTCGTCAATAGAAAAGATAAATATATATGTATATATATCGAGATCACTGGGCTTTGAAAGCAGAATGTTTTATATTTTTGTTTCTTTTTAAGTCGAATATAATAAACCATTTGTAGCCATTTGTTGAAGTGCTAAAACTAAATATTCATTAGCATGTGCATAATCAGTTGAATCGGGTCCATGTTCAGCACATTGAACACTTATTTCAAGTAAGCGTTGTAATGTTTTACATGCTTGTTCATCAGACCAATGTTGACAATCTTTAATAGTTGTATTTGTATTTGAATTTGTTGTTATAAGTACTAATGGTGAACATTCACCAAGAATAAAACGTGTTAATATATGTTGCCAAACTGATTCAATAAGTAATGGTTTTGATACTGTTATTGGTGAACGTATTTTCGATAATGATTCATACATATAATGATGAAGAATTTCGAGAATAAAATAATCCATTAATAATATCTGACGTTTTAATAAAAGACGTTTAGCTGTTGATGTTGGTCCAAGTGAAACAGTTATTATATTTGATTTCTCATGTGAATATGTACGATGAAAATAAAATGATTTTGATTGATCAAATAAATATTGTAATGCACGTCGTAATGATTGACCAATTAAATGATATGGTTGAATTTCAAGCATTTGAGCAACAAGTTTAGGTGATACTACAAAAATTAAAAATCAATATATAGATTTCGAATTGAAAACAAAAAACAAAACTATTAAATTTACATAATTTTGTTTGTTTTTTTATATTTAATTTTCTTGTTTCAATTAATAATGATGAAAATAACCATGGTAAACTTAACATACGTCGCGCATGACGTGTATCTGTATAACATAATATATAAAGTGCACTTGCTTTAGCCATTTTTTTATCTGCACATTGTGTACAAGTAGTATGACAACGATTTGAATGTGTTTTGTCACAAAAACGAAATTCATGATAAAATAAACGACGTATACGACGTATTAATTGTTTTAATTCAACTTGTGCTGAATCCGCAACAAGACAAGCTGAATCTGTTTGTTGTTTACTTAATGGTGTTTTATGTTGTAATGATGATGAATCAAATCGACAAAGTAAATCAACATCCGATGAAAAACGATATACATACATTATATCCAAAATAGCTTCACGATAGATACGTGCTAATTCTTCAACAGATGTTGTATATTCATTATGTAAATCATGAACTAATAATGGATCAATAGGTGATGAACATATTGTTGTTGGTGGAGTTTGAATTGATATCCAATTTGGTTCAAAACGAAGACATGAACGAAATAATTGACCTAATATATGAAATATTATATAAAGAGTAACAAAAAACGAATTTTTATTAGAAAATATTCTTTAAACAAATATGTTTTGTTCATCAAGAGAATGTACAGAATATATAAATATGTATTCCTTATTTTCATGATTCAATTGTTATTGTTTCGCTTGTCTATTTATTAGATGATAAAAATGTATAGAGTAAGCCTTTTTTTCTATATCCTGTACTGTGACTGAGAAAAATTTTTCTAACCATAACCCAACTCTACGTTGTAGGGTAATCTTTGCATATCTATGTCATTTAATCAGTTAATTTTTATGTGATTTTATACAATATTCATTTTAGATATTTAGCTATTATGTATCAATCGATGAAATGTCAAGTAATAAAATTATACTTTGGAATTTTGTTTTTATTATCGAAAATTAATAAAAGTAAATTAATGGAGAAAACTTAAATCACGGGTTCAGATCATGTGTCAGAACTAGAGATGTATGGGGCTGAGTTCATTCTTTTTTTTTTAATTTGATAACTTATTTTTTATTAGTTTCAATAAATCTGATCGGACTTCGTTCTGGTGATTCTACGTTTTGAGATATTAGCTCGGTTTTTGTTTCAATCTAGAGGAAATTATTTCCAAATTGATTCATATCAAATCTAAAGAAATCTTAAATACATGTTTGTTTACTAATACAGTCGACGAATGTCATTATTTGTCATGTTCTTTCATGAATTTATTTTTATAGATTCTGTTTTATAAAATGATTCACTCAACCTAATGGAATATTTAATCCTTTGAAGGTCACCTTACAAAATTCTGTACAGTCATTTTTTTTAGACGTTCGTTGTTTATAAGTAACTCGCGAACATAAGAAAGGTATCAAGATGCGTCGATGTCGTTTTGTCGGGTGATCTCAAATATACCATTAAATTTGTTTGCAACTCCATATGGGAAGTGAAAAGATGTAAAATTAATGAAATGACTTTGTGTTCAAGTGAATATGACGTTTTCTTGACAATATTTAACCTATGGATAATTGCCTCGATAGATTTTAATTACTAGATTTTTACGTGTTTATAACGGACCTGATCAACAGAATATACAGTAGAATAAATGATCCTTGGTTCCTCAATAGTGCACGCAAGAAGAGGAGCTCAAACTTCAAAAAGTGACGCTGAATTGTAAAATAGCTATATTTCAGAAACGATGACGAACAAACATTTCCAGTGTATACTGTAGATAAACGAGAGTCAGAGCTACATTTAAATTAAAAGAAAAAGTCTTTATCTCTCTTGGCTCAAGACCGGACTTATACCAAACTGAAACTCAAAATCCAAATCTTTTGGAAGTTTAGGTTTGAGTTTGATGTTTGTCTATGCAGAACTTATTAGTACTTTATGGTAATAGAAATGAAACGTTTTGATCTCACGAACCATTCAAGAAAAATAGACCTTAATTTATTAGGTGATCAATATTTGCTGATAACAATGATTACATAAATTTAGAAGTGTCTAGCTATCGTTGTTGAATGATAATACTCAATAGTTTAACTGTAATATTTAGCTCCCATTTCGTGTTGATCTCCATACGGTTGCATGAACCGAAATCGGAATCAAAATTGGTACTACACATCTTTAGTTAGAATGTTGTGTTTATTCAGATGATCAAACAACCTTAATTAATACCAAAAAATTCAATGCCTGCTGCGTTTTTTTCTTCTCATAAATAAATAATTCTCAAAAGAAAACAACTAATTCTTTTATTTAACCTACCAAGTACATGTTTCGATGGATAAAGTTTATAATAAGGTTTATCAAAATAATCCGGACGTTCATTTCCTAATTCAGATTGTAATTGAATAATTTGTTTCGGTGTTAATGGATGTTGTCCAGTTTTAGGTGC